GGCCTTGGCTCCGCCGGCGGAGAGCTGAGGCCAGGGCACTGACATCCCAATCTACCATCAATTTACCTTCTGCTTCCCCATTTAGCTTTTAACGTCAAAACCTACATTTTTGTCGGCTCCGGTCTGTCTAGGGCTCCTGTGATTTAGCTGCGGGAATGGCTGCTCCTGAGAAAATAGCAACAATCCTCGTTAGTGAACAATTAAAAGAGATCCTCCTTAGCGGATTCAAAGGGGCTCCCGGTTCTGATGAACTGACGTTACAAAACAGGGAGATTATTAATGTGGAAATACTGGACAGGCGATTCGGAGATCGGATATCGGAGCCGCCCGCCGGCCCTACCGCGCATCCCTCGGGGGAGTTGCAACCCGGTGACTCGGTCGAGGGAAGACACAGTATCTGCAGAGCGGCTGCCCATGATGTGCCCCACCGCAGCATTCGCAGCCACCCCTCATCCCTTTTATTTCACCCTGTGCCGCTACAGAAACAAACAAACAAACAACCCAACAAAAACAAACAAACAAACAAACAAACAAAACCCACCAAAACCCAAAAATTCTTTGAGCAAGGAGAAGCTCCAGTTCATCAGCTGGGCAATTAATAGGCAAGGAAAAGCAAACAAGGGGGCAGATTCTTCTCCCCAAGTGTTATAAACAGAGGCAAGTGTCTGTAAACACAGACCCACGCCGGATAGCACAGCCGGGCTGCCTGACCCGACGGGAGGGAGGGCACATCACTTTTGTCTGGTTGTTGTAACCCCGCAACCTCCCCACTGTCAGCAGGGGCGGCGAAACGACGCTGGGGCTCCCTTATCTTTTTATGGGCAATTGCACATCTACCTACGCTTACTGCTGGGTCTCATTGGGGACCACTTCCTTAGGCGCGGTGGCACGGGAAGGCCGGCAGGCATGCAGCCCTGGACCTGGAGAGAGACCCAGCTTGGTTTAAGTAGAGATGATTTACATAAAAGTTTTAAATACGAGCCCTAATTTTATTATGAAAAAGGTGAAAAACCTTTCTCTTAATCCGGATTGGACAAAAAAATACCTAGGCCAGCCTCCTTCCGTGAAAAACCTTTCATTCTTTCCTTGCATGCCTACGATACAGAAGGATGCCATGCATTTCCCAGTATTAAACCCTCGCCCCCGTACTGGGGAGCAGAAAAGTCACGAGACTGGCACCGGGATCCTTGTAAAGGAGTCGATAGACGGGGCGAAATATTTAAGGGAAGAGAGATCGTGTTGATGAAGCAATGAATGTACTAAAGACAGCCAGAGAATGGGCTGCTACAGTTTACAGCTGGATATAAAAGTTAAAAATAATTATACTCGCTGTGGCGTACTGGAAACGTGTAACCCAGGAGAGTTTTAGGAACCACAAAGTTAATATTAAGTTCATCGTAGCTCATTGTAAATCTTACATATTCCCTACAGCACACCCTCCCCACCTCCCCCCTAGACCCCCGCAAATCCCTTGCCTTGTTCGCTCTTTCTTCTTGACGTAAAATTACCTGCTACATAATCACTCCGAGCAAAGCTCGCCAGCCTCCCTCGTCTGCCTCCGGCCCCTCTCCGGGAAGCCGCCCCCGCTGCGGGCCTGCGCCTGGCACGGCCGCCGCCCGGGCTCCGGCGGCACGAAAACCGCGCATCTCTGCTACTCCTGACCCGCCGGGGTTTGCACCCGTGTCCACTTCCCGTTCGCAGTAGGTCTCCTGCTTGGAGAACACCACCACAAGGAATTCCTATTCAGATGAACTGCCGGTTTCTGTTCAACACTCACGGGGCTGAGAGATCCCTCCCTCTACCCCTCCTTTCATTCAGTCAGTTGTTTAAGAATAAAATTAGGAGCCATCTTTATAATTTAGTTTACTTCCGAATATTTTAAATATTATGAAAAAAAAAAGCCATAAACAACGCTGTTATTCAAAACATTTTGAGGTATAAAACATAAAAAGATTTGGATTTTCTTTTTTTTTTCTTTTTCTTTTTTTTTTCTTTTGTTTTGTAAAAAACACACACAGTGGTTTATTGAGTACTTACAACGTTTACACCTTCAATATTAATTAGATTCCACTTTTTCCCTTACGGACGGAAGTGCACATAACCAATAACTGTTGAAAACATCTTCAAATACTGAACGACCACAACAAAATTACAACACTAAATACCGAGTCAATCGAAACATTGGTGCAACTGCTTCTGTTGAAATATAGCTTTATAATCCCATGAATATTTATATCCAAAAGGCCAAGTATTAAAGATACACTTCACATACACACTAATGCCAGGGAGGGATTTTTTTTTTCCTTTTCTATGATTCTGTTTTCCCCACGTGTGTTATACAGAGCAAATAACATTCACGAAACATTTAGAGACATTACCCCTTACAAGCTGGAGTTTTCCTCTTCATATATGGAATGCTTTTTCCCTCTCCTTCAAATATCCACATTTTGGGGGGTTGGGGGGAGAAATTGCACATAAATAAACTGGATTATTCCAAATACAAAGAGTCCTCAGAGGAGAGCTCACTACCGAGACTAAGAGGACGGCTCCTCCAGTCCTGCCGTGCTCACTGCTTGAGCTCCAAAGCCCAGACATGCTGCGGCCAGCCAGTCCTCCCTTTGGTTTTCTTATCGTTGCTGCTAACTGTGCTTTTCAAGATTTCGTTCTGGGGAGACAGGATGCGAGGGGAGAGAGAGAAACAGAAGGGGGAGAGGAGAGAAAAAAAGGTTAGATATATTCCTCCCCTTTCTAGGTCGCATCTGCTCTGCTTCGAGATCGAAAATTACGAGGAGACCCGAGCTCGCCGAGGCCTACGGGCTTCAAGAGCCGTAACGGGGATCTCGCCGCGGGCGAAGCCGCCGCCCGTGGGAGCGGCGGAGGCCTATTCCCGCTCCGTGCCACCCCGCTGCTCTGCCGCAGCCGGAGCGCAGGGCTGGAGCCTGAGAAGCGCCAGCCATCTAGGGGGATTACGATAAGGCCCCCCCTAAACCATTCCCTCCCTGAGTGCGGGGAGATGCTGGGCACCAGCACGTACCGGGGCAAAACACCGGACTTGCGGCCAGTAACATATGCGGGAATCAACCGCACGGGAGCACGCCATGGGGCCTACACGAAATTGGGCTTGCGCTGCCTGGCCTGAACCGACTGTCCCGTTAAAAATCAAAAAAAGATGAAGCGCCGAGTGCAGAGGCAGGAAAGCCCCTCGCTTCGAACTTCGTACTTGCCGAAGGCTTAAATCTGGGTTGGGCTTAGCAGGTAATCATGCCTCCGCATTTTCATTTAAGACAGCAGAGGCTTGTCTCCTGCGAGATCACGGTTTGGGATGTGGGACAAGAAGCAGCCCGGGAATAACCTCCCCGTGGGGCCCTGATGTGGCAGCCTTTCCCCCGCGGCTGCTCTCAGCCTCCGGGTCGGATCCGGACGCCGACGGCCGCTCGCGGCTGCGCACGGTCTCGCTTTTGGCCCGCAGCTACGGCCAGGGACCGGTGGGACCGAGGTGTTCCCCACGGGCATTTCCCGGCGACTCTGCCCAGCGAGGAGCCGGGTACGCTCGGATGGGGCGCCGGAGGGCGACCGAGCAGCCTCCCCTCCGCTGCTCCCCCGCCCCGTCCCGCCCCGTCCCGTTCCGAAGCACTGACCAGCTCTTTCTTCCTCTTCTCTTCCTTCACGTCTGTCTTCTTGATCTCTGCCTTGAAAGCCTCCGCCTCCCCGTTCTGGTCGTCCTTCGCCAGCAGGTCCATGAGGTAGGCGATGTAGCTGGTGGCCAGACGGAGGGTTTTGATCTTGGAGAGCTTGGTGTCTGCGGGCACGTTCGGGATGCACTCCCTCAGCTCCGCGAAGGCGCTGTTGATGCTCTGAGTCCTGCGCCGCTCCTTGCGGTTCGCCGTGCCCCTGCGTTTCACCGGCCGGGGCCCCCCGAGCCCGGGCGGGCCGTTCCCGGGCGGCACCCCCCCGTAATGGGAGTGGTCCATGCCCGGCGCCCCGTTGGCGTACTCAGGGCTGTAGGACAGAGCCATGCTGTAGTCGGGGGGAGACATCTCCGGGTGGCTGCTGATGAGCCAGCCGTGGAAGTAGGGGTTCTCCTCGTGGCCACAGCGGGTGGCGGCGGCGGCAGCGGCAGCGGCGGCGGCAGCGAAAGGGTAGCCCTCATGGTGCACCACCGGGTGGTGGGGGAAGCCGCCCACTAGACTCATCCCCGCTCCCTAGAGCACCCCACCCCGCCCCCCCCGGGCCCCAAAACAAAGGTTTCCCCTCCCCGCCCGCCCCCCACCCCCGTCGCAGCGGCGGGAGATGCTGCCCGCCGCTCACCCCTCAGCACTGCCCCGCTGCCCGCTGCCTCTCCATAGGACGCTGCTGCAGAGTTCCCGCGGGTGCCCGAGCGATCCCCCCTCCCCGGGCGCCGCCGCCGCCGCTCATGCGTTGTGCCTCCTCCTCCTCCTCCTCCTCCTCCTCGCCCCGGGCCGGGTCTTCGAGGAAGCGCGCACAGAAAAAAAAAAAAACCACCAAAAATCTATGGAGAGATGTCGACCAAAACAAAATGGCTTGGCTTCCCAGCTTGGGATCTTCCTCGCCTCTTGCTTCTCTCCGCTCTCGCCAAGTCCGCCGCGGCCCGGCCGGGTGGTACTTACACGCGGCCCCCCTCCATGCGCCCCCGGCTCGGGGCGGGCGGGCGGGCGGCGCTGGCTCTGCCCTGCGCGGCGGCGGGGCCGTCAGTGCTGGGCGGGCGCTCGCATCTCTGCCCGCCGCGCCGCGCGGCTCAGCGCCCCGGCGCTCCTCTGCGGCATCCGCGCCGCTCGGCCGGGCGCGGCGGCGGCGGGCGGCGGCGGGGCTCGGCGCGGCGCGGGGCACTGGCAGGGCTCCCCGGCCCGATCTCCATGTACAGCTACATGTTTAGGGCCGCTCGGGTTAATATATGTCGTCAGAAGCGGCGACCGCCAATGGCCGGGGCGGGGGCGGAGCCCGCCGCCCTCCGCAATAAAACTTTTTGATGTTCGCTCTGCTAATTGCCGAGCTCCTCTTTTAGGATTGGCTGCCCCTCCGCATCCCTAATGTAATTAAAACAAGGGGGGAAAAATTATCATGGAGGCAGAGGTTAATGCAAGTGTTTAGCAGATGCCTTACAGTAAAATCTGCATTAAAAAAAAAAAATCCAAACAACAAAAAAACCCCCAACTAACTCGTTAAAACTTAAATATTGGATAATCTCAAACCAGGTACAGTATAGATCCAAGAAGTTTCTTGGCAAAAGTCGATGTGAGAGCTTGATAGGCTCTGAGGTTGCTTTGGCAAAAGTGCTTTGTGCCGGTCCGGTAGAGGAACAAATAAAACCGGCTTCGGAGGGCACTTCATCGATGCCCGATTGCGACAGGCATGTCCCAGCAGGGCTCCGGCTTATACTCGTATTGCTGGTTAATACACACCACGAGATCACTAGTTTCCGTGGGGAGGGAGGCGAAGCTGCTCTGCCTTGCCTGTCACCCGGCTTGCGACCCGGGCTGGCTCGGGCTGCGCGCCGCCTGGCTGACCGAGGCAGAGGAGCGCGCGGGGCTTGGGCGGGGATGGTTTTGAAAGAATTGTTTTGAGATATCAATAATAAGTCCGACTTTAACTGATTCTTTTCCAGCTTACTGCCTGCGCCTATGCACCTCCACCAGCCTTCACTCAAGTGACTCACGGTTTCATGCTTTTTGAACCGGTATAATCGGTAAGTAACCGAATATTTTTTACAGCATGTTCCGAGCTAATTTTCTAGCTTTTACTAACAAATATATAAATATTTCTCAGCATTCCTGCTTCTGCACTAAAAAGGACCAGCATCTGCAGAAAGTAGGTTTAGTTATCGAAAGGGAGTAGTTAAATGTTTGCTTAACAGCCAGGCCAAGGAGGAAATCTCCCGTAGCTATTTAGGTGCTTTGCTTTAGTAAGCTTGAATATATTAAAAAAGAGAAATTAATCTCAAACTGTAACTCATTGATAACTGGGAGGCGAGGTGCATTTGTTGTCATCCTCAAATGGAACCGAGCATTACTAAATAGATGCGAAATACAAAATACCCACCCTTATTTGTTCTGGCTGACGCCTAGGCTGATTCGGCGTATATTGTAATGCAGTTCTGCAATATAGGCAGTGTGGAAAACTGTGTCAACAGGAACTGAGAGGTCATAAATTAAAGAAAGAGAAAGACAGAGATGGAGGAGTCTGCGAAAGAAGGCAGCAAGAACTGTGGTCCAATTTCTGCAGTAGCTTAATGCGCTCTCTGGCTCCTCTGCAGAGGCTGTGGGGGTACCTCGGGGGAAGCACTGGGTGGTGGGAAGAGGGCGAAAATCATCTCGATGGGCATCGAGACGGGAGAGGAGGCAGGCTGAGCTCGGGCGGTCCCGGCGTGGATAGGGCTGCCGATGGTTCACGGCGGCTTGTTGGCAGCCGGGGGCTTTGCAAGTGGCTCTGCCGGCTCCCGGCGAGGAATGCCCTGCAGGCAGTGGACGGTCTCCACGGATGAGGCCGTCCGCCAAGGAGCAGCCTGCTGCGGTACGCGGGAGCTGGCTTCGTCGGGGAAATGCTAAAGGCGGGGAAGAGTGCCGGCCCCGCGGTTCGGCAGGACGGGGAGCGCAGAGTCGGACCTGGAGAGGAGACGTGCACGGAGCACAGACATGCAGGCGTAGGTTTTTATAAGCATATACACATATGGGTGAGCATCTGGGTGTAAACTGAGTACGAAAGTGAAAAACTAGTCCAGATGTAGAATTGATGTATATTACACGTATATTTTATACGTGCACACACTTGCTTGTAGCCAGCTGATGGATATCTGTATCTATATACGTACAAGCACACGTGTATATATTGTGTTAGACCAAGGACAGAATGTGTCTGCAGTGTGGATTTTTAAATGTAAGGAAGGCCGTGGGCAGACCGTGCAGGCAGAGCCCTGGAGCGGCCAGGCAGGGTGCCCCCGCCGCTCGGGATGATATGTCTGCAGGGCGCAGCCTGGAAATCCACCCAGTTTCTTCCGCGGTTCTCCAGCTTTGTTTCGCTGCGATATATTCTTGATGGGAAGAAGAAGTGGACATTGTCAAGGCCGGAAAATTATTTTGGCTTGCAAACAGATGTGTGTTTCTTTACACTTTCCCTGTTTGTGTACGAGCTTTCCGATACACTGCAGGTTAGACTGCAACTGTGACAGTCTCTGTGACAAGACACTATGGCCGCTCTGATAACATCTCCAATGATGAAGGAAACTGAATACATGAGACAGAGAAAAAGTAATAAAATGTACAGGAGATATCGATCAGAACACCAGTCTCCAAAGCTAGCATCGTGATTGCTTAATTAACTTTGGAGAAAGAGGATCTCTAGATAAAGCAACCAGAAGAATCTTATATATATATATATATATTTCCCTCTTATCCCAGCAGTTATTTATGAGTTTTATAAAGCGAGTTTTAGAGCAAATGCAACTCTCTTGTCCTCCCTCAACTTTTAAATGCTCAGGATTTCCCATCATGGGTTGTAGTCTTTTCTGTTTGATCCACACGTTGAAAAATGCTGCAGCTCAAAGTACCTTTCCAAATATTATGCTCAAAGTCCGCTAAAAGCACCATCATTTTACCAATCTTACACGTAATTATTTTATTAGAATTTTTTGTTGTGCACAAATCATATGGTTAAAAAAAACCAATAAGAAAACCAAACAGAAAAGAAAAAGAAGCCCTAATCTTATGTCACTTTATTCCCCTGCCAAAATAGTTGCATGTTAGGCGGCGATTTATTTGGATTCTGCTGCCAAACAGGACTCTCTTAGCTTGCCATAATAAAGAAATTTTGGTGAAGACTGTGCCGAGGCTGGTATTCTCTTCCTCCATCCGTTTTTAAAATTTTTTAAAATCTTATTTTATTTTTTCGGGAGTCGGTGTGTGTGGGCGCTGTATCGTTAGGTTGTGCCCTGCGGTTCTTGCCTCTCCAGCCCTGCAACTCTCCGCGCGGCCGAGCGAGAGGAAGGGGCTGCCCTTGCCCCCCGGTGGGTGCCCGGCGCGCCCGGGGAGCGGGGGCCGGAGCCGCGGCGGGGGGCGGCGGGCCGGGCGCCCGCTCCGCGCCGCCGGGGCCACCCGCTGCCCTGCCCGGCGCTCCGTCGCCGCCGGGCCGCTTATCGCCAGGTCACTTCTCTCCTCCGGGCCAAGACCAGGGTGGGAGTCTGGATAACAGAACAATAGAGCTGTGCTCCCCCCTTCTCCCCCCCGGGCTTGTGTGAATTAAGCTAAATTGCAAATTAAGCTAATTTTTCCGAATCAGTCGGGGAAAACCGTATGGAAACAGGGAAGAGATGCCGACGCTGGGTGGTCGGAAACCCACATCTGCTGGGGACTCCCGGGCTGGCTGACCTGAGAACACTGCACTGGGCCAGGCCCTGTGAGGAGCAGGCCAGGGGCAGAGAGGCGCCTCACCGGTGCCTGGGCAGCGAGCCCGCTCATTTGTTTCTTGACCGCACCTTCCTTTTGAGGAGCGTCCGAAACCGGGGGGACGATTATGGGGACGGGGCAGCGGCGGGAGCCGCAGTCACCACTGAGGTGCCCGGTACCGACACCAGACGTACCCCGCTCCGTGCAGCAGCACCAAGATCTCCCTCTATAATTTTCATTAAAGCCTAGAAATAATCAGACACACGAAAACACCCCAAGGACACCCCGTACTTTGCTTTTGAGGCGCTACCGGGGCCGTGCAGCGCCTTCGGCATCTCTCCTTCCTGCAGCTCCCTAAGTACCGGGGTGCCGATTCTCTCTCCTTTCCCCCGGCTGCCCACCACATCGCTCAACCGCCCGATGCACGGCTTGAAAAGCCGAGACGGGTTTGAATTTATAGAGTGCATGATGTCATTGACCCGGGACCAAACGTATCAGAAAGGGGTATCATGCTCGGATGGATTTGAGGATGCTGGAGCATCCCGTGTCCCAGGGATGCGATGCATCCTATATTTGGGGCGTTGCTTAGGAATTCATCAAAGAGCATAAACACGCAAGAAAAAGGATTTTTGAAAAGAGGCATGGAGAAATATGATTTGGAGGTCAGTGCGGGTTAATGAAAAGGACTTGTGCCTAATGGGCCTGGCTTGCACCCTCTCTTGTGCTCACACAACCTGTATTTCAACGCCCAGGGCAGAGGGCGGATCGGGCCCAGAAGGCCCGAATTAATCGCTGCCCTTGGAGGTGAAGGAACCCTGGTTTACGTTACTATTATTGGTAATGAACACCCACATATTTCAGGCATGATAATCTCGCAGCCGTTGTGTATTAAAAAAAAAAAAAAATAGATCAGGGATGAGAAAAACCCAAGCCACCAAGACACTGACCATTTCGTAAGTCGCAATGATTGGCAGTAAGCGCGGGACCCTACGCGTTTTAGCGCTGCATGTGCAAGCAATTATTCGAGGATTGCTTATATTTGTGACTGAGCATCCAGAGTTGCATTTAGACCCTGGACAGGAATCAGGGAAAGAAAAGAAAAACATAACGAGTTCCAACCAAGAGCCCTTCTTTGTCAGAAGAATAGTAATAAAGACCTTACAAAATTCTGCAGTGAGCGCAGTCTGTCTCTATTTATTGTAATTGTTATGTGCATCTCCTATACATGCATGCATGTATAAACACGAACATGCATACAGATAAACACGCTATTTTCCCAGTTAATATTTGTTTGTATTCCCGGGAAAGAACATCTTAAGAGTTTGACTCTGATGAAATTGCTGGCGAATGCAATTGCCTTCATTAACGAATATTTTGTCGTCCAGCATCTGAAGTTCAGACGGTGGAGGAAGAAGAAGGCTAGGCTGGCATCGTTTTGTGTTTAGGTTAACAAAAATCAACACTTCTATTGGCATCGTTTTGTGGTTAGGTTAACAAAAATCAACATTCTATTGTCATTCTTCATGGAAAGCCTCCATTTAACGAGGCTGGGGTTTAAGAAGCCTTCATAGATCAAAGGTAACCTCGCTTGGCTTAAGAGAAAAATCCCTCTGGAGCAGTGAAAATTAGCTGCAATTTGGCCCTAACTACACGCCCCAAAATGTCGGTGTCGTCCTGTCGGTGTCCCTCGCGCCGTATACCTGCTGCACTGCACCCCGCTCCCGCTTCCCGGGATCGGCTGCAGCACACGGGCTCGGCCGAAAATTCAGCAGCTGAGTCCTACAAATGTCGGCTGCACACTTGTTGCAAGCATCAGCCCGTACCGCAATTCCTATACGCGTATCCCGGTGTAATTGATCTGGCTGAGTGAGGTCTTTTTGGTAATTTGGATACACCAAGTCTCCAGTTAATGACATATAATCAGCCTTTAGGTCACTTGGTCATTCTCTTATTACAAACCCCTCCTGCTCTCTCTGATCTCCTTTCAAACTAAATTTCACACAAACAAATAAAGCAAGACAGGGACAAGTCCTTAAAATGCAAGAGTGAAATATTGGAGAATTGCTCTTGGGGAACTATAAACATTTTTTAAAAGAAAAAAGCGAGAAGATAGGACAGAACATCTTATCGAGAAAGAGAGCATTGTGTACAAAACACGGAGGGAAAACCGGTCTGGCTTGTGTTAAAACTGACATAAAATTAAAATAAAATAATTACAAACAGAAATGCTATAATGTAAACAGAATACAGGAGATTTTACTAGAAACGCACGGCCGCATACCGTAATTTGTTCGTTCAGATGATGCGATGATATAACCTATTTGTGGATACACAAAATGTTTATTTGCTGAACTTTAGATGGAAAAACAACTTTCTTTATTCTTCTTTTCAGGAAAGTTAAGAAGCCGGAAAACTGAGAAGTGAATGTCATGTACCTCCCCAGACCTGGAGGGAAACGGAGCTTCGGCCAAAAGGAGTGGGTGTAAATGCGACAACAAAAATAAATACTTTATATCACCCTGCAGAACTTATTTTACTAAGTCAACACTTTGTTTTTCTGCAGTTCACCTTTTCTTTCCCCTAGGGAGAGACAATGCTCACTTGTTATTAATTATTCCTTAAAAGCTTATTTTTATCCCCGTCCAGGTGTGTGTATACATACATACACACACACATATATATACATACATACACACATATATATATATATAATCAACAGGCTGAGGTTCAGATGTGAGCAAAGGCTGGTGCGGTGACCGGGAAGAGGGGCGATCAGATGCTGTAGGTAAGAACCCAGGGCTCTACAGGCTGCAACTCATTGCAAAGCCAAGCCCCGTTGTTCGGACCTAAAGTTGACTTATAAAATCTAGAACGAGGAGATATCAATGTCGTTCAAGTGTTAGCACTTTGAGAAGGCAGCCTGCAGAAGAGGACTGCGATCCACATTCCCTCACAGGCATTAGCGCCTTTCAAAATATCGAAATTTTTACCGGCGGTCTCATTCGTGTGTAATACGGGGTTCAGCCAGGCGCTAATGAGCACGAAGCGTGCGCGAGGTTGCGAGAATGAGTGTCGGGGCAGGCTCACACAGCGACAGAAATGGGAGCGATGGATCGAAAGAAAGGAGTGTCACAAGTCCCTGCGCGTTGGTGTGGCACATCTCGTTATTAGTTCAATACGTTCCCTGCCTTTTCGGGATTTCTAAGGGCCGGTTTGATTTTTTTCCTCCCGAGCTCGCCTTTGGGGTACTGTGTTGAAGCATCAGCCCGTAGCCGCACGGTTATAGACCCACTACATCAAAGGGCGGTGGGGGTCAGGGCCCCGACGCTGCTGTCCTCTCGGGGCGCACGCTCGGGGACACGGGCCGCCCCTCCGGGAGCCGCCGGGGACGCTCAGCCCTGCCCCGGCACTGCCCGGGCGGGGCCGCCGGCACCCCTCCCGCCGGTGCTGGAAATGCAGAGGCCGAGGGGAGGCGGCGGGCTGGCCCCCTGCCCACCGCACCTCACGGGGCGGCGGCCCCGGCGGGCTGGGGGCGGCTGGAAAGGGTTAAGCGCTTCCCCTCCTCCTGCTGCAGCCCCCTGAATGCCACTGCTTTCCTCTAGAGGTCTCATTAGGGAAACCCTAACTGCTATTTTCAACGTTTCCTCAATCAAGCGCCTTTAAATAGAGCTCCACAAACAAATTGGCGGCAAAAAAGCGCAGATCTTGTCACGGGCGAGGCCGATTCAATATTTCACCTTGTTTGTTTTGTAATTACAGCCTGGCTTGTGGCTACCTGCACGCTGGGGCGAGTTTCCCTTGCCAGCGCCCCCGCCTGCCCCTGCCTCCCCGTCTCTGCCGTAGAGCCCCGCAGACACCTTTCCCTGGGCTGGGAATTGAGCGGGACCGCCCGGGGAGCCACTGAGTGAGTGACCTCCGTCAAAACTAAGAAATCACCCGCGATCTCCCCAGCTAAATTTTAAAAAATTGTTTTATTTGTGTTTTTATTTTTATTTTTATTTTTATTTGGTCGTGTTTTGCAACGTCTGCTCTGAAGCCACGAGTTTTCCAGCAGAAGGGACTTTCCCCGAGAACCGCCTTGCCCCTCATGCGGGGTCAGGGAGCCGGCGGGCGGCCCGTCTGTCCCCAGGCAGGGCAGTCCGAGCAGTTGGTTTTATCTGCGGCACTCGCTCCCTCTCTCGCTGTTAAACCGCTCTTAGATTTGTTATATTTTCCACAAGTGATTATTCTTGTTTGACTGTTGTACAGAGCCGCTTTAAATCTTCGTCAGGAAGAATAAAAGTTGGAGCTGCTCGGACGGGTTCCTGCGGACTTGCGGGCTGGTGCGGGTCCACCTCTGTCACTGCACACCGAGCCCTCTGAACAGCGGGGCTCGATAAGCCTCCTTCCTGCGGCTCGGGGCGGCATCAGAACAGATCGGAGCTAATTCGGTTATGTCTGAAAGTCGGAGTGTAACAGAGAAGAATTTGGCGTTTATGAACTAAGCTGCTATATTTGCTTTACTATAAACCAAGGATAATATTTTATGATGGAGGGGAACAGTGCAACACAAAAAGGAAATATGACAATAAATCTCTTTTTATGGATTCTCTTTAGCAGCAAAACTTAAGGATTCAACGGTTTTGTGACTCAACAGTTTTGCAGGTACATCTAAAGATGCCTACGCAAAAAGTAATAACTCATATTCCCCCTCCCAGCCACCCCTGGAACATAGAAATACAACCCTGTGCCCTTCAGTTCAATGACAAAATTCCCTGAGATTTTCATGGGAGCAATGCTGGCACAAGAGTTTACATCTGACCACTGCACGGATGTGCTTTGATTATTTATGGTGCCACTGGCATTACTGGTAAACCTTTCATGGTTTACTGATACACAAAACTTCTCGTCAGAAGTAATGCTCTACTTTCGATCTCAGAATAAACACATTAGGCTGTTTTCTTTCTAGTTACTGTAATATTATTAAGGTTTGAGATAATTGATGCATCCATAGAGCTAAAATACAGCTTTAGTTTTGAAGGGATTTTTTAAAATGGGAATTACTAGCATGCTAAAATAAAGATAAGTACTTCAGGGAGAGGATTTTCAAGTGGTAAAGAATCTAATGTTCCTTGAGTTAAGTGCAGATTCTGCACTTTGAGGATTTAAACCCAATATGTTTTTTCAGAATCATATTCCACTGTAAAAAAACTCAAAAACATTCATACATCCTCAAAGTGTTTTGTATAATGCAAACATATTTGCATCTAAGGTGCTAAGCATATGCTTTTTACCTGTCTCCATGCCTTGTTTTAATTCTTTCTTATGACCAAGTCCTGATATTTCTTACCCTGAGCACCTAGATCCAGATTAAGTCACCTAAAGATCAAAGAATAATTGGCAGGTCCAGTGGTCTGCTGCAGTGATTTGGAAGTGTAGATTTTGAAACACTTGCTTCACATATCACACAGTACCGAGCTTTTCCTATCTCAGCCTGCACACATACATGAAGTATGGCAATCTAAGACACTGGTGACTAGAAGCCTAACAGTATGAAAGCAGAATGCAGATGCAGCACATGCAGTTAAACATATTCTTTTCAAATAAGTCCTTTTAGTTGAACTTTTTTTCTCACATAAAGCTAAATGAAAGTCACACTGCTTGTTTTCCCTTCTGTGTGTGTTGTTTTTTTTTTGGTTTTTTTTTTTTTTTTTTTTTTTTTTTAAACAGGCAAGGGCATTCAGAGATTTGATTTTATTAAGGAAAGTTGTAGAACAATCAGTTCAGGTATGTCAATTTAAATAATGTATGGAACAACATTTACAAAAGACATCCATGAGAAAAAGATCACAAAAATTTACAAATACAAACCTCAGGAGTACAAGTTGTTCTGCTTAAGCCAAATTTTTGTCGGAGTGATGCCTATTTGTATGAATTGAAGTTGTGCATGTGCCTACTGTTGGTGGAAAATATCGTACATAGTCAAGGTACCTTATCTACCATTACCAGTCTTGCCTAGGGAGGCAGACCACAGGGCAGGCTGGTTTTACTGTTATCCACCAAGAAAAGCAGCCTGGACTGAGCTAGAGGACTGCAAGCATTTTTTTGCAGTCACTTCAAGGACGGCTACACTAGCCTGCAGTCTGCAATATGGACAGAGTAGTGGGAAAAGTGAGTACTGCACATGCACACACCTTTTTTTACCAAGGACTCTGCCCTGCATAGCCTGGAGTCCACAAAGGGCTTCCCCTCTTTCCATTTGTATGCTATTCATAAAGATATGTCCTAGCTTGTAAAAACAGTACATGCCCATTTTGTGTGATATGTGCATGCACACATCTGGGCTGCACGTGTGGAAAAGTAAAGCACACACTACAAAAAATTTTACATGTGCAATTTTCCAAGTATGGGTCTATGGATCTATAATATGACACATCTACAGTGAAGAAAATGTCATTCTTCTGCAGAGGAGGACATTTAAAGTGGCTTTCAAAGAAAAAAAAAATAGCAGAACTGTTCTTGGTAGCACTGTTAGTAGAAGTTTATTTCTCCTGGTTGCTCCTTGATGTTTTCTGCAAACCAACTTCGATGGAGCATTACTCCTAAACAGCAACATGCACTCAGTGATCAGAATATTTCAGATATTCATTACTATAGGCTGATGTTATTAAAATTAAAAACATCTGCTTTGAGGAATGCAGATTTTTTGGATGTAAATACTTCTACTCCCACAGTAGTTTCAGCTACTCAGAGAAGCAAAACGTAATGCTAAACAGTCGTCGTATTGTTTGACACAGAAGCAAATGGAACAATGTTGCTCTTAATGTTGTTGTTATTCAGTGGACAATTGAAATTGGATAAAGGCTTTCATCTGGGAACACTTTTCTAATACCTCTGTAAGTAATGGGAGTCCTATTGCCCTGCATACTGGGCAAGGTTCACCCCCATCTTGCCAAGACAGCTCCTGAAGAGAGGAGTTTGTGCCTGCAATAGGTTTTTAAGTGCTTGTCTGTTATCAGTTCACCGACACGGTTTTGCAGCTGAGGAGAGCGGAGAATGGAGCCCCAGCTGCCTGTGTGTCAGATGCTATCGCCTAATCCTGATTAAAGGCACCGTGGGTTAGAAATTCCTCTGCAAAGCCACGTGAGAGAAAACTCCTCCCTTTTGCACGCCCTGTACAGATCGCTGGGAATATCTTTGATACTTGTGTCAGCTTCTCTTAAACTGAAGCTGAACTGGGGATGCTGGTTTAAGAAAGAGTAATGATGTGTATTGGCTACCACACAGCACACTGCTGTGCTAATCACATGAGTGCCACCGATAGCAAAGGTGGAGTTGCACCGACTATTGCCGTATTTCCGTGGGGTATTTCGTCACTTTTGCCAGTCAGGCTGACTCTAAATAGAGAAAAAACACCAAACGGGGGATTGCAAATGGGAAGTATCTATTCTGTTGATATGGGAATAAAGGAAAATGGAAGATAATCCGAGGGAGGACATGTCCATAAACTACATGTACTGCAT